AATCAAGCATAAATTACTTATAACAATGGATCATATGATTCAAGAACCCGTGACCGATTCGAGACAAAATGCTGCTCTGATACTTTCGTATCAGGCAGCTATTTTTGTCTCTCATCGAGGGGGTTTTGTCAAAAAACAAGAAAATGATAAAATATTATGAAACAACTATGAAATAAAATTATGGGTCTTCGAAGAGCATCGCTATGAAAGCTCTGTTATCACATTTGGTAATTTTTTTAGCTAATTAAAGCCTATTAATCTTGAAGCCCCCATCTCAGCTGTACTAATAGCTCTTGTGTACAGCTGTACTGCTCCTGACATCCAACCGCCAATTGACTGAATTTGCTCTATTGTTATTCTTCCTTTCAAAGCTACTATTGCGCCTCCAATTCTTAAACTGTATGCAGTATATCTCCTTGTAACCCTGCATTTCCTGCAAAATGCTTAACTATAGCTGAAACGGTCACTACTGATAACTTTCCTCTCGTTCTAAACAGAAACAATGGTTTCTCTGCTGATGTACTTGGCCTTAACCCCAAATATACCTTTAATAATTTTACTGAGCAGAAATTACTCACTGTTTTTTCTATCAGAAGAAACTTGCCTTTCCCCAGTTGATCTGTCTTGGACTTCGAAATCCTGATCTATACTCTTCTATCCTTTTCCAAAACATCAGACACTTTTAAATTACACAACTCTATCAGTCTATGCATTAACCTTAAACCTAAGGCTACTAGGGCTAAATCTCGAGCCCAAATTTCCATATACACTTCCAGAGATGGACATTCCATATATTGTCTAATTACTCTAACTGGTAAAAAATCTCTTGGCCATTTGGCTTCAGCCTTTCTTAGTGCTACCACCCTCTTAATTCCTTCTACTATTAAATGAACTAAGCTCTCCTTCATTAGATCTATGAGGTTCCTTAATTTATACTCTCTGGCTACTGCTGCCAAACAAGTTAGTATCTCTGACATTCTACCTGAAACTTCCAACCATACCAGAAAGACCACTAGTAGCTTTTTTGATA